GGGAGATCGTATGAGGCCTTCTACGACCATTCCTCATCAAGAAGGGATGCACCTATGAGTTTTTGAAATCGTTCGAACACAAAGGTTGACCCTGCTTATACTGTAGGTGTTCAAGTACAGACCCTTTTGCGCCTCTCCAAATGATAGCTTGTTCTCACTATCTCTTTCTCTCACTGCATCACAGAATCTAGGTATCACTCGGGGTAAAAAGGGCGAGGTTACCCGGTCTGAAAACGCCCACAACAATCACCCTGATGATCTGAATAAATGTTTTTCCCACAAATATCCTCCCTGTGTGAGTTTGCAGGAGGATCGTGTACCTCAGCTGCTTGGTACTGATGCTCTCTTCGATCTTTTATAACTGAACAACGAGTGAAAAAAGTTTGGGAGCTGGGACAATCGAAGGAGAATGATTGAGCGTTCTCCCCGAATATAATGGTCTTTGCCAATAGGGGGGACAGTTCATGCCACTTACAGTGATTTCATTTTTTACATAGGAGGGAGCTCTATTTAGGTGTGAAAGCGGGAGCCAGGTAGCCTTCGCGCATCGGAAACTTCCTCCCGCAAAAATGGAGGTGGCACGACCTCTAGTACCACTTGTCCCCCTCATTGAAACTTGATCCAGATAATAGAAATTACCAGGCTCAGTGAGTTCGTCAGAACTCATAGGAATCGAAGTACTAATACCCGAGTGAGTTTTGAGCTGAATGAAAGGTAAGGTGTCTTTGAGATTTGAGAAAGAGCGCCCCAATCGCTAATCGGCGTTGCTGCCGCCGTTTAAAATCGCCGCTCTCTTTTTTCTGTTTGTTTTCGTTTATAATACATTCTTCTTCAATACATTGCATGTTTATAGCGTGGCAAGCACGCCAGATATTGAATCCTGCATACTTTGTGTATCCAACATTTAATGAGCCCCCGGTAGATGTACAGCAAGCGGTTTCAATTGTTGGTTCTATGATTTTTTTTCCTTTCCGTATTGCGATACTTTCCTCCACATTGGTTACTATTTTCATCTTCTCTGTCTTCTGAACTGGAAATTTCTGTGGACGTTTCTCGAATAGTGCTAGAATCGATGTTGAACCCTTCTCTCCTTCTTGTTTACAGTGTTTGTGTTGCCTTGATTCAAGAGCTATATTATTCAGTTTTCGAGCCACTCGTCTAGTAGGTCTGTTATTCTTCTGTTATTCTTCTTTGAATAATGTGTTTTACTAGAATATTCGTCTTCAACTTTCACTACGGACACAACCACGTATGTTAACGCGTACTAACAGCCTTCATATGATCATGGTGGGTTCGACTCAAGCAAGAAGTCGAAGCCATTCCGAAATCTCTTCCTTGTAGAGGGTGAGTCCTTCAATGGTTTATTGTTGGCCTGGTTGTGTCCTAAGCCATGGTCCTGAAGCGGAAGGTCTTCCAGGCCGTGCTCTTGCTTTTTTTTCATAAACTTTTTTTTGTGCATTATATGAGGACATGCTCTGGAACATGTATTATGTTGTTTTCCTGAGGACGGGTTACGCAAAAAGCGATGCGTAGATGTGTTCATGTCGATTCTCTGCCAGCGCCTATCATGGGCGCCATATTACCGACGAAACTACCAGTAGACCGTATGAGTATTCTCCATCTTTCGATCTACCTCGGCATACTTTCAGTACAAACTTATTTGACTCAACAGCACGCGACGTTGGTAGTGATTCCGTAACGCTTTCAGCGATTTCTGCCTTTTGTAAGGCTTAAAAACTATATAAAAACATTTTTGAACCAGTATTGGCAAAACCCTTTTCATTATGTTTTTGCAAAATACTGTCGAAAAGGTTAGCGCTCAAGCTTTTCAATCCACTCTAGCCTTTGGAGGGCTGTTCAAGAAATAAACATAGTTCTGGTGTTCATGGCAGGTGTCCCTACTACAAAGACTTTTGGAGAAGTGGGCACAACTTGGAAGATTCTCCGTCATAGTGATTCTTATGATCAGTAATAAGTGATCTTTTGTAGTCGATGCCCTTGTTTTTGTATTTTTTCGAGAGTTTTTCTTTTTGTGATTTTTTGGGATCTAATAGAGTTTCGAGGCTTATCATACTTTAAATATTTGATTTAATCATGGAACTTCTCAGTGCTCAATTATCTCAGATCTGAGCTTTCCTTATCGTTTTTGCAGGACGTTCGAAGTAGCTTTTTATTTGTCTTCAGCCAAAGCTGTTTTAGGGCCGATCTCAAAAAAGCAAGTGGTTTGAAGGCAGGAAAGGAGAAGAATCGTAACACACAGCCGCGTTTTAGTTTTATCCCATCGGGCAAAAAGATTTTCGATCCAATACCTTCATCAACAAGGTTGTGTTCTATTTTCTAAAGTTCAACGTTGTGAGCGCCTTGTTGTACCTTATACTCTATTTTTGTTATTTTATTAACGTTTTTTATGGCAAGCGAGGGAAGGATAGAAAAACACGGTGCGCTGCTTCCACTATACCGTTACAAGGTCTACGGTCCTGGATCGTATCCGCCTGCCGGCACCATAAGGTTCGTCTCTTCGGGCCGCTATTGCAGCTGGTATAATTGTTTGATGACTATGGAAAGACTCGCATTATTATATAGATTGGCTACTATATGACACTGATTATCTATTGGGCCATTTAAATGCAACCCCTGGTGGAAGTGAATTTCGTAGTGCATTCCAAAAGGAAGACTAGTCCAACACGACTGCTTACTCTATTATTTGCGCCTTGATTTTGTTAACAGCAGATTCGGTTTATTTACGCGAGCCCAAATAGTACTTCAGTCGATACCGCTCTTTTTTATTGGTGATTAATCCATTTCTCTGTTAAGGCAGTCGCTCTTTTCCACTTACTTACCTTATTTACGTTTGGACCTCTACACGTCTCGAAGTTCTCCTTGTAGTGAGGATTTGCAACCGAGCATGCCAATTTCCGTGCGTATCTGACTGTTTTCCTTCCGACCTTAAAAGCACGTTTTCAGTCCATCGTCAGATCTCAGCTTTTTACCAGCTTGCGCCAAATCTTCATGTAATAACGTCCAATTTCATGCATTTTTATGATAATCGAGATTGGATATTTCTGCCTCATTTCGATCTTGACACTCTCTATATACATTTTAGCTGCTTTCCAGATTCCTTCTTTATACTTGGCGTTATTTGATTGCGTACCAAAATATTTATCTGCCCATGGTGATGAATTATTTGAAAACGGTAGCGGTGCAAAAGTGCCGTTTAGTATAGAAGAGTTGTTAATGAATGTGAGTTTTGTGCATGAAATCTATTCTTTTTGTTTGTGTCCGGTGAAAGTTTTCATTCTTACGCTATCCTTTTCATTCTTCATTCTAATGCTTCTCGTTAGGTCATCATCCCTTATCAGTTGCCGCATTCAGTGAAGGCTCCATGTTCCCAATCTGGTGAAGCGTCATCGACCAACAAGAAGAATTCTAAAGCAGTGAGTGGTTTTCAGGATTTATGAGATGAGAGCTTGTTGTCGAGTTATTACCTAACACTGTAGCGTTTGCTAAATAATACAGAAGGAGCCCTCTGAAGGTTCCGAAGCTAAAGCCCTGCAATGTGTACATACCTCATTCAGGTTCATTATATCCAAACTCCTGCACGTGTCCGACTGGAAATTGAACACTCAATCCAGCTTATACGTCATTTTCTTCCAATTAAGCTCCCTTTGGAAGTGAGTCTTATAGGTAGCGTTGTATATTTACTTCTGCATACAGTAGCGGTCAAAAGTGTTCGCGAAACGGTTTTTCGTGCTTCTTTTGCCAGAAAAAAATCATGGTCTCGAAAATTTTTCTTTTGAATATCCTGATTCTTCAAGACTTGAGGATATAAAAACACTAGAAAACATAGTATATCAATCTTTGGAGGGCGTTGCTCAAGCGAGAAAAAATAATGCACTAAAAATCGTTTCGGCGAACACTTTTGACCGCTACTGTATATCTCTGTTCTACTTTTCGCGGAATCACTGGGTACCACATAGCGCTCCATTATAGACAAAGGTATGGAAACAGATCCGATACATTCTCGTCCCTTCTAACAACAAAGAAAAGCTTCGACTTCTGGTACCAGAGATTACCGCGGCGTACACGAGGGGTACGATTAGGTAAGATACTGTCATTCACTTCTTTTCTTTTCGGCGCCTTTTCTATCTTTTTACACAGCTAGGAATTGTGAGGATGAGTTCACTGCTGCACGCCTTACTACCCCTTGTTTTCAATAAAAAATAAGAGCTTCTCAATATTGGGTTTCAACGTGAACCATATTTTTTTCGCCATAACTAGTTTTGCGGATTTCTGTCTTTTTTGCTT